ATATATTTAAGTACATTGTTATTCGGAAATAGTAGCATTCAGAAAAAGTATCCACCCTATCTCTAAAAGGACAGAAAGAAGAAAAAGAAAGAATAAAGAATAAAAGAAACCACTCGAAAATCATGAAGTTCATGGAGGTGTAACATGGAAAAATTGAGAAACTTACAAAACTGAAACACATGTAACATTCAAAGAATATTATGAATATCATTACAAGCATTTCCTCCAAAAGAGCAGAATTTACTAATTTGTCATGTTGAATATTTTTATATTTTTTGATTTAGAAATAAAACATGTTTAAAACATGGATACTCGAGAAAAAATAATACAAAAACACAACTTGCACTATATCACTGGGTGGCTTTACATATTTCGGTTATTCATACATACAGCTGTACTTATATCATAAAGCACATACAGTAGATACATGAACTAATGCCGTGTTTGCAACAAACAGACTGGGTGACAGGTTGCAAGGATTGCAAACCATTCCTGCCTCATTTGGTGTGTCATGGGCTGTGCTAAATTTAAACGATGACAGGAATAATCTGAATTTCTCCTCAGGCTTATTCTAACAGATTATGATGCAAAGATAATATGATGACATACTTATCTAAAGAGAAGCATTATATAAACCTAAGAAATCAACTCTAAGATAGCTGAAATATTTCTGCTGCTGTAATATAATATTTATATGACAGGACATTTCTATATGGAGGGGGCATATATGAAAAGTAAACTTTCATATTGATATTTTAATGTTCAGTTACTATTCAAACAGTATAAAGATTTATTTTCAAGTCTAGTTTAATACAAACAGCCACGACACAGATAACTGCAGCCTTGAGAGGACTGCTGAGAAAAGTTGATTTAAGAACTTGGTGAAACAGTTCTACTCCGAGTCAGTCCCAAATGACCAAGATACTTTCCATTTTGCTAGGGGAGAGACACTCCAGAAACGTTAAAAACAATACGCTAGTTTCTGCTAATTTGTTCAGTAACTACCCAGAGTTCATGACAATCGGCCAGCGTCAGAACCTGGATCGACAGCTACAGAATTGGCTCATTTCACCACAGCAGACCAGCACAGTGCCCACATTACTGTAAGTGCTGCACCTATCCATCCGCCAATCTCCTGCTCCACTCTTCCCCTCACTCATGAACAAATCCTCTGAGACCGTTAAAGTCCTCCACTTGGACCAGCAACTCACCCCTGGTCTGGAACGGACATGCCCCCCTTTCATAACTGAGAACCATGGCCTTATACTTGCAACAGTTTATTCTCATGCAGCAACTTCACACAGAAGTGCAAACTGCCCCAAAACTGCCTTGTTGGAGGTAACCAACAGTTAGCCATTGGGGGTCATATGATTGTTGGGGTTTTCTCTGTTTTCTCTGTATGTTTTTAACTGGAGTCCCCTGGGACCTCAAAACATTTTAAACAATCACTAATTAAAGCAGAAAGGCAAAACACTAATGTGACATCACTAGAAACAAATTGCATTTTTAATAATGGTTGTATGACTGGGGTATGACGAAAAATATACCCCAGTCAGTAGGATGAGTTTTAATATCAAATATATCGAGTTTATCTTTTTGAATTAAATTAGAAATAAATGGAAGATGTAAATTAAAAACATTAAATAAATAATGTAACTCATTTACATAGTTCTTTCCTATATTTTTGCAATAAAACACTCATTATTTCAAGATGATTTTTAGAAAAATACAACACTATGGTATATATAAACAGTATATTTAATCAAGATTATTCTTTCAATCTAAATACTAACATAGGTATCTTTTTCTCAATCTGAAAGCCCTATCAGTGTTTTAGAAGTAACTAGTAAGATTAGTAAGATTTTGAAAGTGGCTTCAGTGGCTCCATATTGTGGAGATTAATATATTTGCTTAACACATGAAAGAACCCCAGGTTGAGACAGGGAGGGGACACAAACCCCTGAAAGGGTTGCAGGTAAGGAAGCAGATGAAATAAACTGTCTTGATTATCACAAATAAAATTCAAGGATGCTCACAACTGGCTCTCCACATTAACTGAACATACAGGGCTTCTCCTAATACACACACACCTGTAACTTCTATGTTTTGTAGTTTTTTAAATTTACGCAGGATTGTCCTTTAATCCTAACTCTTAAAACCACTTAAAAATAGAGCACAATCAAAAGTAAATGAAGCCGATAATGATTTTAACATAGTAGTCAATCAATCACTTCTAGCTACAGTGGACAAAAATGACTCTCTGTACAGAACACTCTTGTCGTGCACAAATCTTTCCACATAATAGCTGGCTTATGTACTCTGGCTGTCCACATGAATTGCAGCACAATATGATTTGATGGTTTACTAAGAGGGTGTCTAATCAGGATAATGATTGGAATTCTTTGTAACAGTTCATAATCAGGATTTGAGTGAGCCTGTTATGTGACCTAGTCACCTGCACACTTCTGAATGAGAGTACCCTAGTGCATCAAGTGCATCATCAGCGGCACCCACTCAAGTGTGTCCTGCATCGGAGCAAATGCCGCATAGAATTAGGCAGATGCCCCAGGGCAGCGTCCACAAATAACATTCCAGCTATCTGTTCATTCACAGTTATTTTTTGTGTGGAACTCACTTCTGAGTGCACTGTTTATTTTTCTTTTCCTTACAATTTCCTTTATAATTTAACTGCAAACAACATATATTTAGTGTGCTGTGTGTTCTGAGCTATGTTAGAGTGATTGTGTATTTAACAAGATACAAGATACAAAATTTTCACTCTCTCACATGACAAATTTGTTCAAAAAAGGTCTTTCAATAAAACCAGATTTAAAAAAAAAACAAAACAACCCAACCATGGATTTTCAAGCATTTTCATTTTATCTCAATATTCTGGAAGCTTCCTATGACATTCACCGACAGTCCAATGGCAGAAATCCTGCAATGCACTGTGAGATAAGTCTGTACGGCGAAGGCTTTTCTATAATGTGGCCCTTGACCCACATTAGTGCAGAGTGGGATCCTGAGAGGGGGATGATAACAGCTAATGGTGTCTGACTCAGCATAAATCCATGAACAGACATTTCGCAGGGGTGCTGAGGTCACATGAGCAATGCCATCAACCCAAGCATACATACACAAATGGCCCAATGTGAAGAGCAAACTTATAATACTTTTCTTGGCTATTAAATCGTCATTTGCTCTTCCAGTATAACAAATACATGAGAAAACCTTTTCGTAGCCTATTTCTGGTAAGCTCACATCACTGAATAATTTCCATATGAATCGCTAAAAACATATGGGGCACTTCCATCCCATGTTCCCTCTTTAATTTTCAACACAGCCTCAGGCAAACTTGTGAGGGGATGAGTAGAAATGATGCCCGACTTTATCAGAGTGGCAAACCACACAGTTACACTGTTAGTTAGAATTTTATTCTTTCTTCAAAGGCTTTCTGGTCAAAAGAAATCCGTTATATTTCCTCATCATCAGCTGCACTTGTGCACGATATATAAGCTATTAGTCTTGTCAGAATAATAGTGCAACTCAGAACTCTTGACATGATGTCCAGGTAAATGAATCCTACAAGAGGTTTTATCAAAACGAGATTTGAAGGTGAGAGTGTTGCAATTGCTCCCTGGGCAGCTGACTGATGGGTAATTGCAGAATTTCTGTTTATTTTTCTTTGGTATGGTCTCACTATAACTATTTTATTTTGCTTACCCTTTTTTTAGAGCATTGTCTTGTAGCATATCCATACAGACAGCATGTACAAAGTCAGAGATGGTACTATGCTGCGAGCTATATCGCACATATAGTGCATATACAAAGTGCATGCAGGTGAATTTGTGTAGGTCCATCACTGAAAACACACATCTCATCAAAATGGTGATCAGATACGCTGTCCATGGTCCTGAAATCATAC